TGCGCGAATCAGTAAATTTCTATTCTCAATTGACTCTGGGTAATGTCATGTCGTAATTTACTCCATAGATCTATTTTTGAGATGTCGTTATTGAAAAATCTTTCTTAGTTTATAGTAAAAATTACCATACATTCAAAATGTATTAATTGATACAACGGGATTAATTAATCACATACTCCAAGCTTTCTACGTATAAGTACTAAGTGCACCAATCAGAAAAAAACATCGTGAGCATGCATAGTTACGCGTCTACTACTACGAAAGTATAACCTCAACCTAATATTTGTCTAGATTTGGAGAGTAAAACGACATCGGTGTCAACGTATTTGTGTGGTCTCTGATCTAAAATTTACTATTCTAATAACAATATCCATCGTATATTATTTGGTAAGTAGACTATTACTCTTTTTTGATAGCTTTTTTACAAATACCTATATTTTACAAATTGTTTGTGTTTATTTTGTTTCAAATTAAGTGTTTTTACACTTTATATTTTAGTATAATTCAAATATGAAGTGGACTTTAATACTATATACGAGTACTTTTTTGGTAAACTATAGTTTTGATATGGATCAAAGCTTTGATGAGCAACTAATCTCCATGTTACCCCAATATCCTGCGATTTGAGATAAAAGTTCAAAGTTGTTAGAAATAAACAAACAAAAGGTAACTGTTGGCAGGAGATAAGCAAAACTCTTAGCTGCACAGGTATATTTCACACAGAACTTTGAACAAATTTCACATTTTTTTTTTGTAGAGGAACGTGCTACATTCCGATATAAATCTCTTCGAGAGAAATTTAGGAGAGAAACTTTGATTCTCAGTAGAGAATATAAAAGTGGGACTAGCCCTTCTGGTAGAGACGAATGGCCTCTATATGAGCCAATGAAATTCTTGGAAAGGCAAATAAGGCCAAGAAAGATTGCATCAAATATTCATGTAAATGAAATAGAGGAGATGATGACAGTGTTTCAAACACAGTCAGTACTAGATACTGTCGACTTCGACGAAGATCAAGCACTGGATAACCAATACGAAGATTTATTGCTGCTTCCAGCAGCAGGTTGTTCAAATGTGCCGGACGTAAACATTTCACCAGTTTCTAAGGCCATGGTAATGGCAACGCCAAGACAAAACGCCAAAAGCAAGCAAGCAGATACTAGTAATGATGTGTCTAGCATTTTAACTCGACTTGTAAAAGTTAATTATTTTACAAATAGTCGCATACGTTTTTGGCTCATTGTTTTTTATATTGTATGTTGGTTTGATAACGTAAAAAAAACATCACAAATGTTGAACATGAACGTTTCTAAAACGTATATTAATGCAACAAGCGCCTAGTCGGAGCACGGCCCGATTATGTGATTGTCTGCAGAATATCTTTATATTATTGGCTCTCATTTTTGACGTTTGGCAAGTTTTAAATAGGTTATGTATGCGTGTTATTCTATTTTACAAACGATTGGATCACTTGGACTTGGATTGTTGTCCGAATGTAATCTGATGATGCCAATGTTTTGATCACGTTTCTATTGCTTCTGTTTGCTATTGTATTGTATATTTGCTGGAAAACATGGAGGTTTCTAAAACTGAAGCTGAAAGACCGTTATGTACACTTTGTGGAAAACAGTTTAGTCAAAGAAAAAATTTATATGAACACATGAGGAATATTCATCAGAAAAATTCAAATCTGTTGGTGTCTAAGAAGTTAATAACGTGCTTAGTTTGTGATAAAACAGAAAATAATCGCCAACAACTGTATGCACATTTAACCACGGTTCATACTGTTACAATCAATTTTGAAAAGAAAAATTTCAGTGAAATGAACGGTAAGTCATGCTGACAAATTCATACTTTGAAAGCTCATTCACGGACGCAGATTTTAATAAATTTCCATAATGTGTTCTTTTGCAGAATTTACTCAGTGGAAGGAAATGATTGAGAAAAACACTCGATCTCAGTATGTCCTTGAACGGGGAATGAAAAGACTGGCGGATCATTCACAAAAACCCCGATTTATTTGTTTGTATATGTATATAGTGTTTGACGAAAAATATTTGTTGTTAGGAAAACACATGAGTGAATATAGTTCTTATTCGGGATCTTGGATTACACGTTTTAAATAGTTTTACATATTTTAAGTATGAGGGTATTAATAATATCATTAGTAGTAAACAAAAGAATTTATTCCGCTATTTTGAGTATAATACAGGGTCTCACAAAAAATATGTCTTAGGTAAAAAGAAGACTCCGAGAAAACCCATTTTGAAGTCTGTTGGAGTAACTAGACAGTCGCAGCTTACAGAAGAAGGTCAGCAGATTCAACAACTGAAGAACAAAATGGCATCTTACCAGGAACGTCTAAAAAGGGCAGAAGATATGGCAAAGGCGACCGATTTTCCAAACTTATTAAATCATGTATCCGATAGTACTTATAATTTTGTGATGTCACAAGTACGAAATCAAAGATTAAAACCCCAGGCTAGAAGGTTTACGTTGGGGTAGAAAGTAATGGCCTTAGCTGTAATGAAAATCAGTGGCAAGGGCTATCGGCTGCTTTCCAAACTTTTTGCTTTACCTAGCCGTAAAACATTAACACACCTTCTGAGTAAATTGCCGTTTAGAGCGGGTATTATTAATAATAAAATTTTATCGTCGCTCAGATTAGCCGTACAGAAGATGAATACTCAGGAGCGAAGCTGCGTCTTACTTTTTGATGAAATGAGCATAGAAGCTCATCTTCAGTACAACGAAAAGGAAAATTGCATTGATGGTTTTGAGGACCACGGGTGTAGAAGAAAGGCCGCATTTGCAAACTACGTCAACATTTTTATGTTGCAAGGGGCGTGTAAACAGTGGAAGCAGCCTCTAATGTTCACCTTTAATAGTGGTCCTATAAATGGTCTGGCGTTGAAAATTTTAATTAAAACAGCCATTGAAAAATGTCAGGGTGTCGGGCTTAATATTGTGGCTACAGTTTGCGATCAAGGCTCGGCAAATCAGAAGGCCATTCTTCTACTCAAAGAAAATGTTGTTCACAAGAGTCAGAGAGGCGGTGAACAAGATAATGGCAAGAGCTTTACAGTGGGCGAGAAAAGCATTGTTCCATTATTTGATGTGCCACATTTATTTAAAGGTTTGCGCAACAATTTATTAAACAAAAACCTTCATTTCGAATTAAAAGGCCGAAAATATGTGGCAAAATGGCAACATGTGCAAGAGTTTTATGAGCTCGATATAGCGGACGACACTCGAATGCCCACAAAATTAACCGATGCCCATGTATATCCTGAAAAAATAAATAAAATGAAAGTTTCGCTATGTACCCAAGTTTTTAGTAATAGTGTTGGGTCATTAATGTGGAGGTTATCTAAATGGAACGGTATTATTGTTTAAGCTTTTAACTGAAGCATTGCATTTTCATATTCTCTTTTCACAGATAGCGGACTACGTGAAGAAGCTGGAGGTACAGCTAAGCTACTGCTGTTTTTGGATAAATTGTTCGATAAGTTAAATGGAAATAAAAAAAAAGCTTCAAACAGCAAACCACTTAAAGGTGGCGTTACCGATTCTTCCAATCATGAGAGCTGGTGGAGACATGCAATTCAGGTTTTGGAAAAAATGAAATTTTACTGTCCGAAAAAAAAAGAAATTCGTTCGTGTCCCATCAATAAAAAACTTAGTGGTAACATTGCGAGGCTTTATAGAGTTAAAGCACAAACTCCGCGAACATGAAAATTTTGAATATTTTTTGCCAAGAGCGTTTAATCAGGACGCATTAGAAAATTTTTTTGGGGCTATACGTAGCTATGGTGTTCGAAATGTTTCCCCCGACGTTAACCATTTCGTTCATTCATTTAAATCATTAATAATAACGAATTTCTTGTCAGTACACTCCCCGGGATCGAATTGTCAAAAAGATTTTTCAGCTGGGGTTTTAGATTCATTGGAATTTTTTGTTTTTAGCGCAACTGTTTACTATTTTTCCCAACCCTATTATGAGCCAGAATAGAAATTTAAGTGTACAGCAATTTTGCATACACTTAACTTTCTAATGAATTAGAATTTGTAAAATTTATAATATTATTTTGGCACACTTTTATTGCGATAGTTATGCGGTCAACCGTCAGGGGGCGCGACGAACTCTATTTCTCTTTTTAACATTGACGTTTCCTTTCTGTACAGTGTTGCCAACTGCAAGGAATTTTCCCTTTTAAGGGAATTTTAGGATAAGAAAGGGAAAAAGGGAATTTTTTAACAAAAGTTGGCAATTTTAGGGAATTTTTAGAAGCATTCTTAAGTAGGCTGACAACGCAGCAAAGAAAATGTGAAAATTGATAAATCATAATTTTTTCAGCTTAGAAAAGAGCAACATAGTTTGGTAGGTCTTGGTTGTGTGTTGAGTCATGAGTAGACAAAATGTACTAAATGTAAAACGTAGGTCAACTTGTCATTGGTCAAGAGTAGGTAGATGGTGGGTAGCTTAAATTGTGGGCACTTTGAGGATGTTGAGATGAGATCAGAGAACTGGAGCAGGGATGAGATGTTAAAAATTAAAATGGCGACAAATCGACATAAAGCAAGTGTTCTGTGGTGTGGTAATTTACAAAAAATCTGTAACTTCAATCGAGATGGACAATGAGAAGATAAAAAAAAGAAAAATCCAAGCAGACAAAACATTTAAAAGTTATTGGCTAGATGATCCACTTTTTAAACCATGGCTATTACCAGATACTCAGTCAAAGTATATGGCAAGGTATAAAGTTACATTATGTATGTAGATACATACTCTTTTAATACTTTTTCAGATGTAAAATTTGCAATGTAACCATCAAATCAGGGAAAAGTGAGTTACAAAAACATGCAGGTACGAAAAAACACTTGGAAAAACTGAAGCTAATTAATCACAATAAAAATGTTGATATATTGTTTAAAATCAACGAAGATACGGTGCATAAGGATAACGTCAAAAAAGCTGAAATTAAACTAGCAGCAGTATTTGCAGCTAACAATATTGAATTTCGAGTTATTGATCAATTAGAACCTGTTTTAAAGGAAATATTTCCGGACAGTAAGATATGCCAAGACATCAACATAAAGAGAACCAAATGCACTGAAATTGTGAAAAATGTTTTGTGCAAAAAGGAGACAAATGACTTAGTGACACATCTGAGAAACAATACATTTTCTGTGCTCTTGGATGAATCAACTGATATTGGTGATTATAAAAGCGTAGCTGTGTTGGCAAGATTCTTAAACCATGATAATAAGATCGAAACTCGTTTACTGGAATTAATACAACTAGATGCAAGAGATTTAGGTGCTACAGCTTTATATAACACATTTAAAGCATGTTTAGAAAGACACAAAATACCCTTGCAAAACATAATAGGTTTGTTAAGATAACATCAGTTTATAAAATAGCTATTATTTATAATTCCAGGTGTTGCTTCGGATGGCGCTAGTGTCATGATTGGAAAAAATCATTCATTTTTTCAACTGCTGCAAAATGATGTACCACATGTAATATTGCTACGTTGTATATGCCATTCTGCCTCACTAGTTGCATCTAATGCATGCACTGTCTTACCTCGAAGTTCTGAAGAACTTTTGAGGGGTATTTACACCTACGTTTCTGGAAGTTCTAAAAGATCTGCACAACTACAAGAAATGCAAGAATATTTTCAGGAAAGGAAGCATAAAATACTTAAACTGTCAGCAACCAGATGGTTAAGTCATTTTGAGTGCGTAGTTAGGATTTTGGAGAACTGGAATGTATTGGAACATTACTTTGCAATTGCGGTGCTAGAAGACAAATTAAAAAGCGCCGAGTTGATTCTAAGTGAATTGAAGAATATATACACAAAAGGATACCTATTTTTTTTAATATATGTCCTAAATTTGTTTAATAGCTTTAATGCTCTTTTCCAAGGCAGAAAGCCTCTAATCCATGTCTTGTACTCAGAGTGTACAAACTTGATGAAACAGTTATGTAAAAATTATCTGGATGGAGCGATAGTGCTCGAACAAAATCTACTTACACTAAACTTGAACAACCCGCGTCATTTTTCGCCTTTAGAAAAACTATATGTCGGCCCAGAGTGTTCTGCACTTGTAAAGACAATGCCCCCTGATGGAAGAGATTTATTTTTAAAAAATTGCCTTAAATTTTACGTAACTGCAGCTGTTGATTTACAGAGACGTTTACCTGAAGAAATATTTAGGGATATGAGGTTTCTGAATCCCAATGTTGCATTTGCTAAAAGTGATGATGAGAGAAATATAGATTTCAATATATTATGTGATAAACTAAAACATATTAACGCAGATAAGACTGAAATCGCGATTGAATGGCGGAACTTGCCAATTTCTTTTAGTGAGACTGAAATTAAAAAATTTACATCCTTGCAATTGCATGAAATGTGGTTAAATATTTGCTCAACAAAAAAATTTAGTGAAGATTTAGCTTTTCCAAATTTAGGAAAGTTAGTCAAGTCAATATTAATTCTCCCTCACTCTAACGCAGAAACAGACAGAATTTTCAGCATTGTCACTGATACAAAGACCAAAAAAAGAAACAGGATTGGGGAGAGTTCTTTAAACGCTGTTGCTGTTTTTAGGAGCTTTTTACAAGCAACAGAACTAGATGTTGTCAAGTATCCAATAACACAAGACCATCTGCAGTTACATAATGTTGCAATGTATTCATTTAAACACTCATAAAGAGGCTAGATTTTTGTCTTTTATTTGTATTGTAATTATACAACTATATTTTTGTTACTTTGTGTTGTCAATTTTGAAATTATACTGTTTGTTTATTATATTATTATTATTAAAAGAAGTTAAAAAGAAAGGAGCGTTGTTTTTGGGGAGGAAATTAGTAGATTAAGTGTTTTCTTGATCCGTGAGAAATTTTATCAATTTGTAATGGTAGTAGATTAGATACCTAGTTATATGCAAAAGAGAATTTTGAGGCTGAAAAGGGAATTTTTATCGTCCATGTAGGGAATTCGACATTACAAAGGTTGGCAACACTGCTCCGACTGGGCGCTTGTTTAATGCAACAGGTTTCCAGAGCGGACAAACAGACGCTCTGTTTATTTTTTAAAGAGGTTATGTTAAACCATTTCGAAACAAAATGGTAACAAATTTAAAGAACGATTAACACAAATGTTTCATGTCTTATTAGAAATATCAGAAATATTTCAGACACATGAAATGTCTACTGGGATCCAGCCGTCTTTTTCTTTAGTAGGTCATTGCATTTCAAGATTTGTTCGTTAAGACATCAATGCATTTTTCTTAAATGTTCGTTTTTTAACAGAAATTATTTGTTTGTTAACTGAAATTCAGTCACTTACCAATAACGGGTAAAACAATCGACAGTTGCAGGTTCAATTTCATGAAAACTGCACAATCCTAGTAAGACGAACATTGGAACGTTGTGGAGAAAATTAACTAGTTCTTCAAGCAAATACACACACATAATCAGTACATTACGAACAAGAATCACATATTTAAGTTCAAAATGAAAATGCAGACGCCACTGACCAACAATACGTTAAAAATAGTGACTAGTGACAGCGCAATTGCGGTGCTTCATGGAACACAAAATCGCCACAACATAATCTAGTCCACTCATGCGCATTACTCTTAATTAATATCCAAATATAACTTATTCTGTTATTGCAGTAATTAGAATATTTTAGTTCTAACACTAACGTACAGAACATTTTTGCTTATGTTTATACCTGTTTGTTAACACAAGTAAATTATAAATCAAAATGAAATATTTTCTCGATTTTATCACCGGTGTTTAACTGGGTGCCTACAGGATAAACAAGAATATTTGGTAGATAGGCTATCTTGTTACTTTTTACATTATTCTCAATGGTAAAGTGACCATTCGTCCCGGATTGCCCGGGACTGTCCCGTTTTTAGACATGCAATCCCGGATTATTAGCGTCCCGGAAAATGTCCCGCATTTTTTGAATTATAATTAATCGTATCTTGCTTTTCCAATTCATATTTTTTGGTTCTTCAGAGGTGAGTAAAAGTTCTTTGATTTTCAAAAACCGTCACAATATATACTTGTACTTAGATTGACTTTAATAAGCATCGATATGGCTCCAAAACTCGCTCCAAAACGAAAATGTAAATTCACGGAAGATTTGAAAAGAGTATCCGTTCTTAAAGAAATGTGCATTGGATACCAACGTATATTGTACGAAATGTTTAAGTGAATTTTCAATAGTCTCTGGGGGCAGGAATGACATCACTCGCCATTTCGAGACGACAAAACATAAAAATATGTTGGAAGCTGTTGCTTCTTCATCAACCATCGACAATTTTTTTAGAAAAACTGAATTTGGTTTAAAAGAACAAGAATTGGCTGCAGCAGAAGCAATTTTTTCGTTTCACACAGTAAAACACAATCAAAGCTTTCGATCCATGGATTGTACGACAAAACTTGTACAAAAAATATATGAAAAAAAGTTTACATGTAAAAGAACAAAGTGTGAAGCAATAATAAAAAAAGTTTTGGCTCCATTGTGCAGAAATGCGTTAAACAATAAATTGTCACAGGTACACTCTATTTCAGTTTACTCAGATGCATCTAACCATCAAGCCATAAAATGTTTTCCTAGTTTTCCTACTTTAGTAAGATTTTTTGATATAAATGATGGTATGCAAACTAAGTTATTAGACTTCGTGTCTTTGCCAGAAGAGACCTCAGAGCTAATTTTTACATCGCTATTAGAAACTCTTGAGAAGGATAATTTAGCAAGTAAACTTGTAGGATTTTGTGCCGATAATGCAAACACTAATTTTGGTGGTTTAAAAAGGAAAGGCACTAATAACATTTTTGCGAAACTAGAAAAAAAATTCAAACGGAAAATAATTGGAGTTGGATGCGCAGCTCACATTATTCATAATGCAATTCAAACAGCCTGTGACCTATTGCCTGTAGATATTGAAAATATTATTGTGAATTTGTATAAGCATTTTAGTATATTTACTTTGAGGGTTGAGTCATTAAAAGAGTTTTGTGAAGAAGCAGAAACTGAATATCAAAAACTGTTGGGTTATAGTAAAACAAGATGGTTAGCTCTTTTGCCAGCGATAGAAAAAGTTTTAAAGATATTTGAACCTTTAAAATCTTTTTTTTTATCATTGGAGAAATGTCCTCAAGTTTTAAAAACCTTTTTTGAGACTCCATCATCAGAACTGTGGTTAAAATTTATACACAACCAGGCCTCCTTATTTTCGTCTTCAATTAAGTGTATTGAGGGCGATAACGTCACTTTGTCCGATCGTTCGTTTCATGTCATCAGGATAGGAGATTCAATTTCAATCACTTTAACCAAATCATTCGAATATATCACACTGGCGTATGTTCTACTAAAATATACGCAACGCCACAAAACAATTTTATTTATAAAATTCATTTACAAATCTCTTTAGATACGTACTGCATTTTAAATGAACATTGCTTTTTCTTTCCTTCATTTTAGTTTACTGTAAGAACATTATTTTCTTTGCTTCAACCTTCGGTGAATCCTCCAGAACACTTTTATTTTTGAAATGAGGCTCTTTAATCGAAAACTCATACAATTTTTCTACACTTGACGTAAAATTGTTTTCTTGCGTTTGCTGACTGTGGTTCGAATCAGTAAGTAACTTCGGCTGAAGTTTCTGTAAATCTTTTCTGATATATTCACTTAAACTTGTTGACAATATTTTGTTGATTTTAGCAGTCGTGTCCCAATCATCTCTCAGTAAACTGCTTTCTGTAAAAACAACGTCCACTCCTAGCTCAGGATGTTTCCGCACTACACCTTGAAATTCCGACTCCCTACGCTTAACATCTGTGAAATACAAAATTACTGGGCTGAAAACTAAAACATATTTAGGTCCAACACATACCTACTGAAGACTGATCTATTGCTATTTTAATTGGACGAACGCTCATTTTTCTTATTAAAGAGTTGACTTCAATTATTAACAAGCAGTGAAAAACGAACATTAACACGTTTATGAAGGATTCCATTAAAAAATTTGGCGAAGAATAGATGTGAACCTGTACAGCGTTACACAAAATTTTGGTTAACTGCCGAAAGTCAAGAAACATCGCGAAAATTTTGAGCCATGACATTGAAGTTGGCAAAATGTCAATACTGACGTTTGGTTTCACGTATTAGCCTACTAGGTTCTGACTAGTAGTGAAAGTACTACATGGTTGTTAGCGCCTTGGACGGCATCATACTACAGACCGTTTCGGACATCCTGGTCAATCCTCCTGCGGAACACAAGTACGAAACGATCAAAAACAAGATCATCGCAGAATTTACGGATTCACAGGAGACAGATTAAAAAGCTAATTAATGAACTGGAGCTATCAAGTTCAAAAAAATGTTGAGATTTATTGTACGCAATTGTAAGGATTTTACTAATCCGGCAACATTGAAAGTAATATTTTTTGCTTGGGTTCGATCAAAATTGGAATCTTGCACCCTGGCGTGGTTTCCGTATTACAACATCCAAATTCTATCATTTGAGAACATACAACGACAATTTTTGAAGTATTTATACTACAAAGAAGAAAAATGTTGAGTGGTGAGGAACTATCCCCAGAAATTACTGGTCCAACAGAATACCCAAAAAAAGCTTGGTCCTCCTAGGGTTAAGGCTACCATAACATCATTTTTCTGGTGGAGACATAGACGTCTCCAACGCAAGTTGATAAATATACCTGAAATACGTATTTACTACAGCGTCAACTGAAACAATATTTTCATTATCACCTACGTCACAAGAACCGAATATGCTGCATTTAGAAGACGATACTTTGTTTTACAATGGTATGTTGTCAGTATAATCTTCAAAATGCTTTACAATTCATTCTTTTTTTAGAAAGACCAACAATCACTTTACAAAATAACGATGACTTGCTTACAGATTCATTTCCAACATAAACATCACTCTTCATGGACAGCATGTTTTTAAAGAATTAATGAAAGCTCATTGAAAACTAGGCAAATATGGAAGAAGACCAAAAATAACCGTCATCCTTCCAAATGAGGAAACTTAATTTGCCGAAGATACTGGTGGCATGTTGCGTGATCTTGTCTGAATTCTGCGAGGACTTTTATTAAATGTGTACAACAGGTATACAATCAAAAATACCTTACCTTACGCGTGACTTTGGAGTAGAGGAGTGGAAAGCCGTAGCAAGAATTTTATACATGAGCTGGACAGAAGAAAAGGTCATGCCTCTTAAATTGTTGTTGTGTTAGTCCAATTAATCATCAAAAGAAAACTAATATTTGTTGTAGTTATTACAGATAGGTATTGTTACCTAAGCGAGATGCGATAATTTTCACCAAGTTTACATTTTAAATTTCGATAAAAACATTAAAACTTAGATACAGTTGCCTCTTCTTTCCTATGTTTTTCATTTGCATAGGTGTAGTCCCTTTAATCATTCCTTCTTATAAGAAAAAGGTACGTGTTCATATCATGTATGCAGTGGTTCAATTTGAGGATGATATAAAATGTGCGGTGGTGCCATTAAATTGACTCCTAGAAGAGCAGAAAAAGTGCTATTAGCCAAGAGCTGCCACCCCACATGAGTTTTAGAAAATAATATCAACATGCAAAAAACCACAACGTTCATGGTCCAAGTATACAGTGATTAACGTTACTGATATAAAAGGTATATTTCATAATTTGGTTATTACTAAATTATATATTCAACTTTAGTCTTATCTAGCTGATTACGATGATGTGAATAACATACTCCAAAAAATGATCGAAGAGAGCTCCAACTCCTCCTTCACCCGTGGCATCTTCTTCGCAAAGTAGAACGTTTAGACACTGTACAAGACCAAAACACTATTTTACTTAATAATATATTAAGTAGCATCCAGTCATCAAACATGACACAACCTAATCGTCCATTGGACCTACCTAATATCCCAATCAGCTGTAAGGCTGAATAAAGGACCTTAGAAGAATTTCTAAATAAATATTGTAATTATATGGTATTCTCAGATTATTTATGCATCAAATAATCGTCTAGAAAGACTAGTACGAAGATTGTTCCTTCGTGAACTTGCACAATCATTAGTTAAACCTCAAATGCAAAAAAGAGCAGTCAACAAACATATTCCCAGGTCATTACGCCAAAAGGCTGCTAGAATGTCAGAGATACAAAAAGATGTTCTCATTCGCCTGGAACAAACATTTCCAAATTTCCAATTTTTATGTAGACACTGCCACTGAGTGTTGTATTAGATCTGTTGAAAAAGCCATATGAAAATAAAAACTTAATTGTCAATTTAATTTGGCAACAGTAACGAAAAATGCTTCTAGTAATCTACGGATAAGTTAAATGCTAATCTGAAAGCGCTCGAATCATCGTTAAAATTAGATATCAAAGGATGGGACCCAATCTTGATTTATTTAATAACAACCAAGTTTGATTTCGCTACAATGCAAGACATTAAATAAAAGATTTCAATTATTAGAATCAGTGGAAGCCAATACACACAAACCAGTTAATAAAATGGCTCAAAACAATTCAGAACCTAAATTTATTAACCAAAAATCTGTTCATATGGCAAATAAGTCAGAAATTACTTGTCCGCAGTGTAAAGGTATTCATTTCATCTATCAGTGCAAGGAGTTTTTCAAACTACCTGTACAGCAACGTCAGATTCTAGTAAATAAGTTATAGTATGTAACATTACTAGCATGGTAAAAGCGTTTACTGTCCGCCAGTAAAAACCCGTTACCTTGGGTGTATTGTTCAATATTTTATTTGTTTCTCACTTGTAAATAACTATTATAAATTATTAAAACCTCTAGAAGGTCCAATATTTGAAGAAACATCGTAGGAGCTTTAGACGTATTGCCTTGGAAACGCACGTCAGCATGGGACTTGTCACAGCATTTACTGTGTTGTCTAATCCTGTCATTTAGATTTTTCGATTTATCGTTTTCGATGTATTGAAATAAGTGTGGCGCAAGCTATATTACTGAGGAAGCAGCAATTGTAAGTGAAAATTTACCTGAATCAATTTTGGCTGTCATTTCAACTTAATATTACAATAATACATGACGCTATGAACACGACCAGGGCTGTAAATATTTTACTGGCAGCCAGTAACATTTTTCACAGGCTATAGCCAGTTAAGTGACATTTTCATGGTGAACACAGTGACTTGGTAAATTGATGTTTACAAGTGAGGAACAAGTAAAAACTGTGTTTTCATTCAAATCACATTTGTAACGGTCCCAATAAATGCCCCGGGCGCCCACCAGAATAGCGCTCCGATCGCCACCCCCGTACAGACTCAAGCCTTATCATATCCCCCCTAAGCTTTACCGGCGCACAGGAATGCTCAGTGCAAACCCACCCCAATAAAGGGAGCTGCATCAAAGTTTTTCCCCAGAGTTGGATTCCCACTCTCAGCTAAAAAACACTAAGCCCTTGCAATTGATACTCGAAGTCTAAGCCCATTTACTTCCCGCCGGGTTGATCCGCGGACTCACCTCTCCTAAAGAGAGGGGTAAGTGGCTAGACTGTTACGAGTACGGAGTCTACGTGTACGAGTACGGAGTTTACGTGTGCAAGTACGAGCATTACCCGTAGTATAGTTTCGCGACGGACTCATACCTGTGCGTGACGGACTGTTAACTGTGCGCGACGGACTTTTACCCGTGCGCGACGGACTGTTACCTGTGCGCGACAGACTTTTACCTGTGCGTGACGGGCTGTTAACTGTGCGCGACGGCCTTTTACCTGTGCGTGACGGACTCATACCCGTGCGCGACGGACTGTTACCTGTGCGCGACAGACTTTTACCTGTGCGTGACGGACTCTTATCTGCGCGCGACGGACTCTACCTGGGCGGTTAAATTAAGTGTCTCTGTCTGGACTATATATATATATATATATTAGGGTGATTCAAAAAAAAAAAATAATTTTTTTTTTTCGTGCAAAGAGGTTCAAAAGTTTCTTTTCAACGTAAAAAAATACCAGTTAAAATTTGAGCTCTTAATATTAATATTAAGACCGTCCGCATCGCGTTTTTCTATTTCCCATAAGAATAACATGGGAAAATTTTTGTTTGCACCTTCTGATTTTTATTGCTAGCCCGTCGTGTGTCGTGAAAAAAATTCAATCACATATTTTTATAGAGAATTGAACGCTCTACAAAAAGTGTCTCCTATGATTTTGCGAGAAACCTGATAGTTGAAGAGTTATTTTAGGCTAAAGTTAAATTTATCGCAAATTTTGACGTTTTTGATGCATTACAATAAATTTGATGGTCTTATTGGAATAAATCACCACAAAAATTCATGCCCATTTTAACTTTAGTTTTATAAATAGTAATTGTTTATAATTTTATGCTATAATAAGGTCAGTGAAACTCTTTCCGAACATTTTTAGTATCAGTGGGTTAAAAACTCATAGTTTATTTCGTTTTTGTTTAACCTAAATTTTGGTTTTCAAACTATAATTGTTGGTCATTTTTTGCATTTATCCAAACAAATCAACCAATTTCAAACAATTTATTGTTATAAATTTCTACATTTATTTTATGAAAAAAAAAAAACACTTTGGGCCGGTTGCATAAACGCAAATCAAATTTAATCTCTGATTAAGAACACTTGTAACTATGATAATAACAATCGTTACTATGGAGTTAGTCAGAGATTAAATTTGATTTGCGTTTATGCAACCGGCCCTTTAAGTAAAGTGCCGCCGTTAATTGCTTTTCTATTTATCCAATAGTCTGTCAATATTTTAAAAGTAATCATTACTTATTTAAATTTTCAAAATTACAGGTGCGAAATTGTCTTATTATTGATTGGCCGATAAAGAAGAAATGCTTTTAGATTTTGTCGGTATTATAGCTACTTATTCTTACTATAAGTAGAGTTGTAGATAAAGAACGTTTAGTTTGTTGACATGTATAAAAATTGATGTTTGTATTTGTCAGTGTATTCTTTTATTGAAATGTTAGATTAATCGAATACTGATAATTATTTAATATTTTTGCGTTGTAATCTTATTTTTTTTTCGATAAGAGTTATTTATTAATTATGGATTATTTAAGTCGCGTTGTTGGTGACAATCTAATTGAAGATTTTGTTGGACGTAAGCTTCCTTCCGTACAAGAGGTTATGTCAGTATTTCTTTATCATAAAACACATTTAAAATTACAACGAAGAGAATGTCTTTCGGTCACTATTGATAAAGTGCGAGAAAAGTGGTCACAAGTAGGAATTCCAACGTGTGGAAAAGCTCATGCAATGAATAAACTTTCTGGCCTCTTAGATCAAGTGAAAAATTTACAAAAAAGTTCCAAGCGCAGACGGTCAAAGACACACAAGCAAAACGAGTCAAATTTTAATCACAAATTAAAACTTTTATTTGACGTTGCTCAATTCAACGTTGAAAGATTTATCAATGATGATCAAAAATTATTTCTGGCCGGACAAAGATCAAAAAGTCGATTTGGACTAATTGATACTACTTCAAAACCGGAAGAGGTGGATAATCATATGATTGTTGATGATGTTATAATTGGTAATTGTGCTGGTAGGTTCATGACATTTTTAAAAACTGTTTCCATTCGAAATGATTACTAGTTAGATATGAATCAATATTTTTATTTTTAGATGTAAGTGAAGTTGAAACTAATATGTTATTAACCGCTCAAAAATCTGGGATAGTTCAATCCGACTTATCACCGACCACGTCTAGTCAAACGTCTACCCTAGTATCTGACTTTGAACTTCCGATGAGCCAACCGAAGAAAATTGACATAATGACACCTGAACTGGCTGGGGCACTTGATCGAGGAAAAATTAGTAATAGAAACGCTCTTTTCATATTAGCTGCTGCTTATAAGAGCGTAGGGATTGATATTTCCACCCTCACTCTTAGTTATAGTACACTTCATCGTGGCCGTATTAAGTTTCGAACAAACATCGCCGAAGATTTAAAAAAAGAATTCCGCACAGAAGACCGTTATGTTGTGCATTGGGACGGTAAAGTTCTGAGCGACATTTCTGAAAAAAAATCTGTAGATCGTATTGCGATTCTTCTATCCGTTAATGGAATTGATCAACTTCTTGGAGTTCCAAAAGCTGACAGTGGGACAGCACATCAACAGGCTTCAGCTGTGATTTCAACTTTAAATCAATGGAATGTAGCTTCATACGTGAAAGCGATGTGTTTTGACACGCCACCTGTCAATACCGGTAAAGTTAATACAATGAATAAATTAATTTAAATTTTTTATATTTAATCTTATTTGTTGATTTACAATTTTTTTTTACTTGTAGGTATTCACAAAGGAACATGTGTTTTGATTGAAAAAGAATTAAACCGGAAGTTAGTATGGCTCCCATGCCGCCATCACGTAATGGAAATTATTTTGCGGGGAGTTTTTGACGTATATTGGAATACGACGTCGGGTCCTAATGTACCGATATTTGGCCGTTTCAAAAATTCGTGGGACAAACTTGATCAGTCAAAGTATAAAAGTGGAATAGAGGACGAAATTGTCGCAAATATTTTAATGAATGAACGCGCTGAAACCGTCGAATTTATTAACAATTGCTTAAAGGTAAAAATGGTTTACTATACTTTTCTACGATGGTCATAACTATTCAGTATTAGATAATTTGTTAACGTTTTTTCTCTAGATATCTCAACCCCGAGACGATTATCAAGAATTGTTACTATTATCACTAGCTTTTCTTGATAGCTGGTCAGCAGAAACTTTCATTTTTAAGCGTCCTGGGGCCATGCATCATGCACGATGGATGTCCAAAGCGATCTACAGCTTGAAAATATTCATGTTTCGAGATCAATTCTACCTTTCGCTCCGCGAAACAAATAGT